GGTCCTATCTCAGCAGACAATCATAAAACGGTTGCAAAACTGTTGAGTCTGCTGAACGCAGCTATTGTATCTTGGGCTTAAGTCCGGATTTACAATAGGGGTTTTAGCCTTAAGCCGTAAGAAATTGACCAATTACAGTCGAATCCGAGGAGAATAATCGACTGTGATTCATCCATTTCTTATGGCTTAAGGCTTAAAACAGTGAATCCAGCAAAACGCATTCATTTGTCCTTAGCTAACACTTTGCAACGCCATCTCTTAGAAGATCGAACACCTACTGCTAGACACAATTATTGCTTTGTTTACCATTCCGAGTCTTCGCTGAGCGTTCGTATGCGCGTCATTTGCAGATCGATATAAATCTTTCTTTTGAAGCTTTTAATCTTAGTTTCATAAACTCGATATTGTTTGTGCACGTAATGCGCCAAGTGCTGCACTATCGTTTGGTCCATACGAGCTATAACACTTTTGTATTAAGGAAACATCCATGTCAGGCGACAGCTCTACGAGTTGAAAAAATGTAAGTTTTTAACTTTTTTCACGATGTAGTATAAAGTCTATTGCAGTACTCCTAATAAATTTTGCGTCTACTTTAAACCTATAATGCGGGGTCTACAATAAAAGTCGTAGCGGTCGTAGGGTCTTAAGTCATAGAAAATTGACCAATCACAGTTGATTATTCTTCTCATATTCGACTGTGATTTGTCAATTTTCTATAACTTAAGACCCTACGACCGCTACAACTTCTATTGTAGACCCCGCACATTAAAGAATTTTTTATTCCGTTCAGTAAATTCGGAGATTTATATCGATCTGCAAAATCCCGACAATTTGGCCACTCCAGCATCCCCTTAAGTTAAATCGGACAGGAACGAAAACTTGAAAAACGCTAGCTCTATCGGTAATACAGGCGGCTTCAGCATCCTATCGCGAGTCTCGCGGAAGAGATGTCGCTAGGTGGATGTTGCATTACAAAGTTGCAATGGGCGAATCGGGCGAACCTTAGTTTTTAGTTCACTCAGTAAGCGCTAGGTGGTGCTAAATAGCGTCAGTCTCGACTCTCGATGAAAATCAGTGAAAATGGAGCCGCTTGAGTGAAGGTGGGTGATTTTGTGCGCGCGCGTGAGTCCGAAAAGTGCTATCTTTCGGAGATGTGGCAAGATTTGGGCGGTCTAGGGAGTGTAGGAGTAAATTCTGGTGCTCATCAGGTCGATCAATTTGGAACGACGGGTAAGATATTTATCGATCAATTCTCAGAGCACATACCACGTCTGGAGTCTGCGGAGCGAAAGCCAACATATATCGAGTCTTTCTCCACGATAGGAGCGCACGCGCTCTCCTTCTCCCATCTCCGTCTCCCGTATACGCAATATACTGAATATACGCATGGTCACGCATAGTAAACAAAACGGAAGGACGTTGACAACGAGTTTCCTCCAATTTCCTTGCGTCCTCGACTCCTCGCCCCAAGATCTCATCCCAAGATGCAGCGAGAAATGCGAGAATCGATGTCGACTGTCGAGACGCGCGCTCGATTACTTTTATTTTCTTTTTTTTTTCTATCCCTCCATCTGTTCCAAGATCTTGTATATTTGTATGTAGTAACTAATCGAGCTTGAGAACAAGTTCATTCGAACATTAAATTGTTTCGGAGCAGCAAGCCTCTCTTATTCGACGAAATATACTCGTGCTATTTTTAGCAATAACATATTATATCTACATGCATTCTATTAAAATTAAAATATCACTAAGAATATACAGATTATGAATTTATGATCAAAATTACTTGTGCGGACATCTCTAATTAACGTTTGAAAGGTATGTAAAAGTACCTAATCAGTCGTGTTTTTAGGGGAAAAAAAATATTTAATACAATAATTAAGTATTCATTGAGCATTGCGCATTGATTGCGAGTCTTATCACGGATCGGAGATAGGACCGTTACGAGGCACAGCCGTCGTTGCTTCGAGAGTTTTAATCGTTCTCTTTTTTTGCCATTTGGTAGTTCAATTGTCATATTAACGTGCTATGCAAATTAGCTAGTCAAATTAGTTTTTCGAGAGGAACGCAGCACGGCATCGTGGCGGCGCGTATCGATATAATCTCTGTGATATACGAAAATTCTTTTCTGAGCAAGTATAATAGTAACTTACATAAAATAAAATAATAGTTCAATTTAATAAGAATCGATTGACTCAACTCTGACGAGTAAAAGTCGCGATTATTGCCACATGACGGGACGGATCGTATCGAAATACGTTCGCTTCTGCGGTCTATACGCAGTCTTCTTAATTCAAGAGCCCTATTTTTTTAGACTTTTCCGTAAATTGCTGCTAACGAGATCTCCTTCGCAACGGGGACACGAGACGTACCAATCTGTAATCATCCCTTCCTTGAACGATTATTCGAGAATGCGTTGAAGAGAGAAAGCGTTTATTGCCTGTATCCGCACAAATTTGCGCAAGAATTGGCAAGAAAACGTACACGTTTTGACGTTAAGATCCGTATTTGTAATTCAATGATTATCTTATGATTGTAGAATTGACTCCCGAGCAAGAGAAGATCCTGCTAGATATAAGGCAGAAGAAAACGGAATTGCTGCTTGAAATACAAGTGAGTATGTTAATTACTCGAGCTGTATAACACTTTGTTTTATTTTTAAGTAGTTGGCATTCGTAACGTTTATTATTATAACAAACGGAAAGATGTATAATGTGATGTATAATGTGACATTTTATCTATGAAACGGAAACGATATCACTCGTCGAGAATTTTTATATGTATACCATAAGAACAAGATGACACATGCACTCGCCAAGAGTCGCGTTTATCACAGATGCCCTCGTAGAAAAATGTCAAGTGAGTCTGATGTTTTACCGATATTGTACAATATTTCACTGAATAGATCTACTTATGCGATAGGCAGATAGGCACCCGCACTTACAATTGCAAGTAAGATTTATTTATTTATTGTTAGTATCGTGCGTTCGATAACATAATGAATATATCTGATAAATCAATTAAATAAATAGGAAATAAAATTTAAAAGGAAAAAGAGTTGTTTATTATAATTTTATAATTCAGGAATTTTTTTGTCTGTGCTTGTAATCATTTCGATCTGTTTTAATTTTGTGGAATAGCGTTAGGGAAGATTATAGAATTTAAAGACGCAAAAAACAATCTCTACGTGCCTCTTTGTCATATTACAAAATTACAATGATTAACGCAACGCTGCGATGACTGACAACGAGACTACGACAATACTGGCTGTATCTATACAGCCAGAAAAATTCCAGGATGTTCTTATATTCTAGATAAGACTGTTTCCGCAGTGCCTGATAGTCTCGCTTACTCATCTGTTTGTATCTGTTTAAGGAAACGAGACGTCACGCGACGCAACGTAGATAGAAAAAAATCACAACGCGCTCTCGCTGCACTTGGCATGAAAATCTTGTTTTCTCCGATTCTATTTTCTCCGATATTCGAACAACGCGCTCGTTGCTTCGCTCGTTCATGGAATCTGTATGGATATCAAAACAGATTCGTAGCCGGTAGCAGAGCGTCCGTTTAGTACGCGGTTTGCCGCGATCGATACTACATACCATATGTATATCGTGATTTACGATACATAGGGTAAATAGTTAAATACCTTAAGCGTTTAGAGTAAATATCAAACGAAAGGAATCTATATAAGGCTTTGAATAAAGTTTCGTCAAGTCGTTGCATGGTTTAGCGCGGGTTTAGCTCGATCGCGATTCTCGGGCGTCAATGGCACGAACCTCGTACGCGTTTCGAGACAATTGGCGCAGATTCGGGACACGTTGGTCGTGTTGTCTAACGCTTGGTGTACGAAGCAGACGTCGTCGACAGGTGATATAATTAACAATTTTTCAAAGATGCATTAATTTATTAGATTTCTACTCGTATAGTAGACGGCGGTGCCGCGAATTACTACACTTAGGATCGACAACGAACGGACTACGCGTGCAGCGTGTCTCGTAACTAATTAACTTGGCATCGCTGATTCAGCAGCCTTAACGACTTCTGACGAATTACTTATTAGATAATACTTTTCTCGAGCGAATAGTTACAAAATACATATACTCTGCTATACACATAGGAAGTTGAATTTGTGTGTGTGTGTGTGTGTGTGTGTGTGTGTGTGTGTGTGTGTGTGTGTGTGTGTGTGTGTGTGTGTGTGTGTGTGTGTGTGTGTGTGTGTGCGTGCGTGCGCGCGCGCGACAGATTGGACTATCAGACGTTTCTACGCAATAAATGTGAAAATTGTTACGAGAAATATGTCAGTTTTAAATTTCTTTCTTTTCGATCGTTTGCGTAGCTAGTTCAATACAAAAAAAAAAGATGCGCTCTCAGAAATTACAATTCTATTTCGGAATGGGAACTCTGGCACGTCCGGCCACAAGGAAACTAATAGCGCAACAGGATACCTTTAATTGAGAAATCTTTCCTTAGAAATGAAATTGATTGAGTGCGCACGCAAAAGTTAAAAACATAAAGTTTATTCTGCAAAACTATTCAAGCGTAATCAAACTGTTCAAGCCAAATGTTATATTAATGATAATGATATGTATCTTTGCGATCATGTTTATCGAAGTTGCGTTGATACAGCTGAGTGTAAGTAACTTTAGATCGTACAAATGCAGATACTATTAGGTGTACTATCGCAGGGTGACGCATAGTGTGTATGATAGATGGTGTGCGGCCGTGTGGCGCGACACGAGTAATTCCCCAAAGAGGAAGCAGAGACGCGCAGCTGACTATTAGCTGACACATCTATTTCGTACCAACATCAACGACACCAACGTCATTGACGCGCCCGCGTCCTGTTCTTTCATCGAACGACAACGTACGCGAATTGCGAACACGTAAACGATCTTTTCGCGACCAATCTTGTGAATCGCAGAGAGAGAGAGAGAGAGAGAGAGGGGGGGGGGGGGGGAAGGAGAATCACTCGACCGACTCCGAGTCGATTCTGAGTCATTCAATTCGACGCGGCGATATTGTCATTGACGTGAAATTGTCGTTACGCACGAATTTTATCAGATCTTGAATAATCTGATACGGGGACGTGCCAGATACGTAGACTTATTGGAAATACATTAATACACACGGCGATTACAAATATTTGTTATACGGGAGTGTTAATCGCGCGGCCGCAGCGAGGCGCCAGCGGCCAACGTGCCTGATTCGCACGCTGCCCGCCACCGCCAGATTCCAGAAGGAGAACCGTCAGCGTCAGAACGGTTAGAACCGCCGCGCTGGAACCGTTCACGCGCAGTTCACCGCAGTTGCGAGCCGCGAGGTATCGTTTGACGGTGGATGATCGAGCTGACGGCTGCCACTCGAGAACAGTGCCAAGTGCCAGTCGAGTCGATGTGGTCGCCCTGACGCGATTTGTGGTCCGTCGCTTTCGAAAAGTCGCTTTTGTCGCGCGACAACTAAGAAATTGCACGCTCGTCGTTTCACTCGAGAATGTGATCTCTCGACGATAGTCAAGAGTGTACGCGTGAGGAATTTCACTTTCTCACAGTGCTTTGAACGAGAATCGAAAGAGACGGGGTACTATAATTGGATCGTAGAGATTAAAGGTATGAAAGGTGCGCGCGTGTAGAGTCGTCTTCTTCGTCTTCTTCGTCTTCTTCGTCTTCGTCCTCGTTGTCGCGGCGCGCTCGGGTCGTTGCACTTCCGACCGCGTGCTCTATCGCTCTATGTGCTCCGCGACCTTTGCACCTCGTCTATTTCTCGGCGCGAACGATGTCCGATCGTAATCGTAACGGGGAGTACGGGGACTATGGTGAAGGCCGAACGCGGAGCGAATATCGTCTTTTGGCCGGGAAGACGGAGAGAGCCAAGTGAAGTCGCGACTCGCGATCGGGTGTACCGAGAATGATCTTCACCGGCAGATCGGTAGACGCTCTCGACGAGGTGCGAGGCGGCAG